GAGTATTAAATTTCTTATTTACTAACAGAAATAGTCCATCCACAACAACAGGCACTACTCCATCAGAGTGTATGTTTAAAATTAAACCAAGAACGCGTTTTGATTTAATGAAACCAACCTTTGAAGCAAAAGTTACTGGTTATAATATCAAAGATTTACGGCTATTTGCTCTCAATGATTTTGTTTATGTAAAAAAATAAGTTTACCAAAAAATGGTTAAAGGGAAAAATTGTACAAGTATTAAGTACCACAAATTATCTGGTACAAATCGGGGAAATGATAAAATTTGTACATGCTACTGATATTCGAGTTCGTAACATAGGAGTGTCAAATAACCCTGGCCTTGAAACAAATGAAATAACTGTGAATGGTGCACATACTTTAATTTTCTTTTACTATACGGAGAATGGTCGCACTGCGCAGCTTTCTGAGTGCCTTTTAAAAGGAGATAGAAAACTCCGCCATTTTGAACCCTTATTACGTGTTGCCTACATCTTGGCGCAATATTTTTAATAGGTGCGTTTTAATCATCCGCTTCTGCTTCGGAATTGTCGGTTTTCTTGTTTTAATCTGACAGGTTAAAACGACTAAACCGACAATTCCGGAAGCAGAAGCGGATGATTAAAACGAACCTGATATTTTGCTTGCTGCTGTCAGTGTCAGTGAATATTATTTTTGATGTCACAGTTTATTGCTAAAGAATCAGTTAGCTCACTCGGAGCAGTTGAAAGTTCCAAAATAACATCCACTCCAGGGATACAAATTCAGGAACGCAGAAGACTGCTGTTTTATTATAGGCGGTTGTCATATATTGTATTATCCGAGTTGCACAGTGTATAAACTGAAGCATTGAGATCAAAAGTGCCGACGCAGAGTGAGCGATCTGATTCTTTAGCTGTAAACTGTGTCACAGGGTTCAAAATGGCCGCGCCCCATGTTGAGCATGTCGGACCTCTCTCTTGCCTCGTATAGTAATCAAAGTATGTGGAATGGTGATAAATATGACAGTAAAGTGAGAAGTGATCTTGACGAAAACCCTGTAACAACAAATGAAGTTCCAACGACCTCTTATGAGAATGAACAAAATCAAAAACCAACTGTAGACGTTGGAAATTCTACAAATACTTTTACTAATGATCAAAACCGATCACTAGTTACAAATGTTGGCACTTCTATAACTACTACACGTTCGGGTAGAGTTGTTAACTTCCTTTAAAATAAGATTTATAATGTATTTTAATATTAGGTTAGCACACATGTTCAATTGTCAGTGTCGTCGTCTGTCAGATGTCAACTCTAAAAAGATGTCTTGTCTTGTATCCTTGGATGGGGTTCCGAATAAAGGCAACGAATAAAGTGTTTTATTTAACTGAACATATAATTAGTAATACATATCATTATTGTCAAAGGTATTGGACTTATGCAGATTTTTATTCTATGAAATGAGCGACATCTATCTGTACCTGTATCTGTAACGTGTGGAGAATGGGTTACCTTCACGGCACTTAGGCCTCATTAGGCCCATTGTGCATCCTCCTGAGATTTAATGTAGTTGACAACGTCGCCAAGAGGTACTTCTCTTATATCGGCCGGTGTTAGCCGATACTCGCCGAACACAAATCTTCAAATAAATAAGAGCGTCAAGCAATCGTAAAGTATATGCTCGATGGTCTCATCTTCTTGTTCGCATCCTCTGCATAGTGCGGATTCTGACAGCCCCATGATATGGAGACGCTTTCGTACTTGACAATGACCACTCAGAATGCCTGTGACTAGGTGCATATTCTGTCTAGTCATATTCAAGTATTTGTTTGGTGCAGTTTTGTCAGTAACTTAAGAACTCCCAAGCAACTCTGCAGTTTCTTGTTTCATCCCATCTTTCCTTGAATTTCACAAGGGAATCTTCTTTGACTAGGTCTGTCACTACCGATTTTGTCAGGCCAATAGAAGGACCAGGTTCAAATAATTGGTTGGCTGCTTTCTTGGCTAGTGAATCAGCAAGATGGTTACCTTTCGATGTGGCGTGACCTTTGATCCATCTTAAAGGGACCACATTTTTGATGGATACTTCGGCCAAAGCGTCGTGACATTCTTGTACTAACTCTGAGTAAATTCGTGGTCTGTTCAGGCTGAATAGTGATTGTCTGTTATCTGTACAGATGAGCATGTTCCTTCCAGTGATATTGTTTCTGGTTATTTCTTTTTCTGCTCGTTAGCTCTGTTTGAACTACACTGACACTATTGCTCACAGCCCATTTTATGTTTAGGTTTAAGAATCTGGAGTATATTCCACATCCTGGGCCTTGTTTTGTTTTAGAACAGTCGGTGTAGATATGAATCGTACCTGCTACTTCCGGCTCTTCTATTTATTCTATTATAACTTTATATGGCTTATGGAAGATATATCTCGATGAGATGGAGTCCATGTTAGCTTGAAGCAGTGGGAGCGTATCGAGCGCCTTCTGCCAAAAGCGACGTCTCGCCTCACCAGATCCTACATCAGGTTCTATTCCAACCGTGCGGAGGCGTATCATTGTCGTCAGAGCAACCTACTTAATATAAATATCAAGGGGAGTGAGACTAAGAATTACTTTCATGGCCCTGGTCGGTATTGTTTTCATGGCTTCTGTTATGTTGAGACATGCTGTTCGTTGAATTTGTTCTAGTTTACGGATATGAGCGACATCTATTATGAATTTGAGTAATTTTGAATCTGTAACCCATAGATTCGATAAATTACTACAAGTTGTAGCAAAAATCGCAATTTCAACAAAAATGTACTTATGCACTATTTACGTTAGGCCGACGATATCTTTTATGAGCAAGAATTTTTTCAGTTGCCCGCTCTCTTGTAGTTTCGGTTAAAAAGTCCCTGAAGTTACGTTGTGCATGACTATATTAAATACAGTGCGCTCGCCCGGCTTTAATGACGTTATCACGCTCACATAATAAAAGGAATATCTATTTCTAGAAATAAAAACGACAACTTTCAGTATTTTTTTTTCAGAAGTCAACGAATTACGAAATAATTAAATTAAATCCTTTTATTTGTATCATACTGTATATCAAAAGCACTTTGTGGAATAGAGTGATTTTCCATGTTCCATGATAAGGAAAATAGCTATGTCCTCACTTGCAGCTCGGATAAATGGCTTTACATGAACTCTTTCAGGTTTCCGCCTCGATAAATTACCTTACGAAAATACCTACACGGGTAAATTCGATTTCCCCACAATAAAGTACTACATTTGAAACTAGTTACTGGACCTATAAATCACACGAGATTTCGGAAAACTTCCATTTAATACTATTGTGTTTACTGTTGTTGGAATCCGAATTATTGAATTGTTGTTTTGTGTTTGTTTATTCAGAAATTATTTTAAATTGAATAAGTTTATGGTTTGTTGAAACTGTACAGGATATTTTCAAATTCAATTACTGTGTAATAATTGGCATTATTATTTGAATATATAAAGAATTTACCAAAAATTATAAAAAAGTAATTTTAATGTTTTAAATTAAAAATTCAAAAGGAAACACACGTACGGAAATAAAAGAAACAATTAGGTTATAAATGTAGTCAAAGGCTTACATTGAACTAGATAATTTAAGGTAGAACGTTAGCATTCTAACAAGTACAATGTCACGTACATTTTGGATTTAAATAGAGAGGCTAGACATAAAAAAAGACTCGAGTGAGGACTGAGGTGCAGAACTCTTGCCGAAGGCGAGAACTCTCGTTTTCGGGACCCTAAATCCCGAACTAAAGTAGTGTCTAAAGTAAAGTTTTTCTGCAGCGATTTGTGAACTATGGGTAAACATCTTTAACTTATTTTTAAAGTGTTATGTTTGAGACAATTAATTGATTTACATATAAAAACAATAAAAACTATTAAACAAATAAACCACTGACCTTTTTATTTATATAGTATTATATAGGTGTTGTGTGTTGTGACCAATGATAAAATTTCATTAAAATTATTAAACGAAATACAAAGCACTGTTTTCCATTTTAATTTATGAAAGTTTTGTCGAACCCTGTTTATAATCCAAATCCGTTTATATGCTAACTTATACGTATTTAATATTTACATTAAACATAATTCAATTTTAACAATAGTGGAACATGATAAAGGTATAGAATAACAAAAGCACTTAGGTATGAGTTTTTAAAGGCTTTAGGCGCATATAAAAGTTATAATACTTTCCATTTGATAACAGTGTGAAATAAATTAAAATATAATACATGAACACTGAACACCGAGTGGTAACAATGGCATTACACGGCTATAGATACTTAAGCTGTTAAAAGAGGCTTTATTCGAAATCGCAAACCGGTTAATTTACATTTTCATTTCAAAATAGCCACAACATTAATTTGGAGTTATGGTTGGTTTTTGAGTCAACAAGTAATGCCAGTGGTGAGTTAATTATAAGGGGTGAGTTTTTAAAAAAGATACAGAATATAGAACTGTCATAAAAAAATTCCACGTTATTGAGAGAGGGACATCTTATGAGGTACACTTAATACAAACTGAAATAATAAAAAAACAGTGATAGTGACTCTTGTACAAAGTTTTGATCCGAACATATTTTAAAATTATTTGAAAAAGTGAACACCCATTTTAAATTACCACGAGCCGCCACTGATTGTTGATACTTATGTTTTTTTTTGTTGCGTGTACCCTTCCTAGATACAAAAATCTTACTGAGTTGTGAGTATTTATTTAAAACTGTGACATTTAATTTTCACTCAATATTCACAGTTCTATTGTTGCTCAATACATTTCCTAATCCAATGCATCTCTATCATATATAAAAAATACGATTCATTTAAAAACTTTCAACATCTCTCGTTAAAAACTTGGAATATAACACTTAAACTGACGCATTTATGCACCGTATTAATTTACAGATATCTTTTCTAAATAATTTTTCATTCAATCGTAAAACCAACCCATTTGTTCATAAAACTACTAGTACAATGCTGTATAACTTACTTGGAAACTTATAGAAGGGCACAGAGAGACAACTCACGGTGTGTATCGTCCTCGAGGCAAGATCGTGTTGTCCAGAGGAACATGTACACATTGAGTTGAAACCGCAGTTGTTTGAAGTTAGGCCGCTACATCGAAGGAACAGGACAATTAGGATGCTCCATACTAGAAGCATTGTATCTGAAAATAACAGCTGTTGTCAACTTTAACAAGAACACAATATAATAAATCGAATAATAGAAAGTTTAAACAAGAAATATTACATAAAATATGTAGCGCAAAGATATTCTTTAATATAAATTGAACTATGTACCTAACAAAAGAAGCAACATTAAATGAAACGACAAAACCAGACAATGCAGCTACAAGGAGTAGCCATAAAGTTTAAGGGAATTTTTCCGATTAGCAAAAGTCCTAATTAAGACGGTTGTCGTTGCTGACACCATTAAACGATGGCTTTTATCATTTAGGAAGGCATAGATTTATAAATTAAAAACATCAACAAATCTTTCATCCGACCAGATCTTAAAGACGTATAGACCTCTATTACGAAAAGATCGACGAATCTTTAACAAGAAAAGAGCAGATCTCTGAGGCGAAAAGATCGACGGATCTTTAACATGAAGAATCAGAATCAGAGTCATTTATTTAGTTCGTTAAAAGTACAGGCCTTTGTAAACACGTCAGTTGGATAATTACATAATATATTTAAAAAAATTACAATATGACAATATCGACCGATTAAAAATACATTAAGATAACACATTAAAATAGGTAGCAGATTAAAATAATACATTACATCAATAAGTTTGATGTCGTTTTCCATTTATGTTGAGATATCCCATATATTTTCATTTTTCATCAAATCATAAAAGTCATTAAGGATGTAGAGAGGGTTTTTATTAGTGTAACTTTCACTATCTGCTTAAATTTATTATAGTATATTACATTACGAGTGTGGAAAATCACTTTTCACACAAGTGATGTACAATATTTTTCCTACGACCACAAAATAATTTCATCAAAAAATGTAAAACCAGATTATTATAATAATTAAAATGTATTTAAAAAAATAATCAACAATAATCGTATTTATTAAATTTTCATAATTTCTAAACAAATAAAAAAAAAATGAAAAAAAAAATAAAAAAAAAAATCTGGCACAGCCAGGATTCGATCGCGGTCGTTGGACGGTCTCAAATTGCAAAGTTGATGCTCTAACCAACTGAGCTAACAGGCCTTACGGTAATTGATTGATCTAATCGCTTATGTGTTTAACCAGAATAAAAAGCAAATATATCTTAGTTATTTTAAAATTATTTTAAAAATAATTGTTAAAGATAAATATCTAGGATCTAATTTACAATAATTTAACAATCATATCGATTTTAGTATTAATATGGACATTACATAGATCAAAATAGAAATTATGTGTTTGACATTTTCTGACAGCTACTGCGGAAAGTAGCATATTCTCACTTGGGTGGAAAGTAAATTCTTATTCATACGCGTGTGATATAGGGCACTTTCCATAGGTCTATATAGTGTGATATGTGTCACTTTCCTAAGTGGTCGTAGGAAATAGTATATTACATTACGAGTGTGGAAAGTGACATTTTTCACACGAGTGGGAAATAGTGCGACTATCACACGAGTGTGGAAAATCCCTTTCCACACATCGTATCGATTTTAGTATTAATATGGACATTACATAGATCAAAATAGAAATGATGCGTTTGACATTTTGTGACAGCTGATGCGCACACGGGTGCAAAGTAAATTCTTATTCATACGCGTGTGCGTGTGATATAGGGCACTTTCCATAGGACTATATAGTGCGATATGTATCACGTTCCTAAGTGGTCGTAGGAAAAAACTATTATTTCGAATTTTTAGCGGTAGGGAATTATATAACTTTACGTCAACAGATTCCATTTTTTTTAAACGGGTTATAGGAAGAGTTAAATTATGTTTATGTCTAGTGTCATAGGTATGCGCATGTCTGCCATAATACTACAGTTTCCAATATGTTTTTTAAATTTATTAATTGTAGGCAGATTATAAGTGAGTAGAAGGTCATGATATTCAGATGAATGAAAATAGGTTTGCAGGCATCAAGATAATAGGCTTTAAGGATCTTTCGCGCTGCAGATTTCTGTATGATAAAATTTTTTTGTAAATGAATTGGTACTGCTGTACACCATTCGAGTAGCCCATATCTAAGAACCGACTCACAGTCCGTAATAGGCTATGACAGCAGACGATTGGTTTATAAGCTGCCTAATTTTTCTTATTGCAAATACTACTGAATTTAGCTGGAGCAGAACTGAATTAAATGTTCATTCCAAAGAAGCTTAGCATCTATATTCACACCTAAGAACTGGGTACATGATTCATTGTTAATATCATTGTTATTATTAAGATGGGTATTATTAAATAAGAGATTTTGATTTAGTTTCATTTAGTACAAGCCGATTTAGAACATACCAATCCTTGGCTTGATTTGTAATTTCCACAAGCAGCTGTGCTGAGTCCTAGTCCTTTTTTACGCTAATTCCAAACGTGGCGTCATCAGCATATATAACTATTGTTATCTCAGGAATGCTTGAAGCGTTTGGTAAATCATTTAAATAAAGACCCTTGTGGAACCCCTTTCCTAACAATTTGCTTCAATATACACAATTTGTGACCTATCTGATAAATAACATTCTATTAAATTAAGAGCTATGTCACGTATACCATAGTGGTGCAGTTTCTGAATTAATATGCTATGGTCAACACAGTCAAATGCAGAACTTAAGTTGACAAAGACTTCTAAGAATTTTTCATGTTTCTTAAAAGATTTTTTAATTGAATTTGTAAGTTTTAATAACATCTGCCGTGGGTCGATTTTTCCTAAAACCAAACTGGTTTGAATTTAATATTTTGTGTTCGTCAAGATATTCTACAAGTTGTTTATAAAGAATGGGCCAAACTTCAAATGTTAGTAAGTTTGGATAAAAATAAGTTTATTTAAGCCAATTTACCTTAGTAGAATTTTACTTGCTTAAGAAGTTACAGGGTGAAAAAATAATGTTTTTTTTTTTAATATTTAAACATAAATTGAAGAACTTAAAAATTTAAAACTAAGAATAATAGCAAAAGCAAAAAATTAATTTCAAATTATTTGTTTAAAATGTCCGTCATTTAGTTCAATGCATTTTCTACATCTTTTTAAGAAATTTCTTCTAACTGCGAAGAATGAATGATCTTGTCGAATAACATTAGCAGCATTACTATTTTTTTCCACAATTTATTTCTGGTATTAATAGAAGGAACATAATAAACTAGAGTCTCAATATAACCCCAGAAATAAAAATTCGGAGGGTTCAAATAAGGACCACGTGCAGGCCATGGATGTTTACTTCCCCGTCCAATTCATGCGATGGTTAAGAGCACAAATATTGTATGTCCATTTTTGTCAAAAATGGGATAGGTAGGATTCTATATACTTTATAATAAAATCTTTATGGTTACCAAATATAGTACGTCAACTTAAATAGGTTTACCATTCAGTAAAGTTATACTAATAAAAATTATACAGCTCGTCATAGTCACCTCCAACTTTCAAATCGATTTTTCTCAAAATGACATTTTTGGACATACAACATTTGTGCTCTAAGCCATCAAAATTATTTAAATGATTTCGTACTGCTATGGAATAATGGGCACATACCAACTCTACTATTTAAAAAAACATCATCTAGTAGATCAAATAAGTTGTACTCAAGGAAATGTAAGTAATCATTTCAAGTCATTTTTGCTGGAAGTTCAAAAGGTCCTTGTTTGGTCCCAAAGTCTTTGGTCTCAAATACTTAGTTTTAGTTGTTTATTTTATTCCCTTATAGACTCCTTACTGTTTACTAGGTTACACTTTCTTTATATAAAAAAACATAGTAGGGGAAAGATTAGTATTAGTATTACGTGATTTTTCTAATGACTTTTTTATGACATATAATTTAACGCATTCCACCGCATTTTTAAGTATCTCAATTAAACCATTAAGTTCTGTTGATTTATATATTTATATTAATATATTTTTTTGGAAGAAATCCTGGTCCTTCGTTCTTTAAAAAGAAATAACTAAAACGCTACCTGTGCTACAGTCGCTAAACCCCATGTGTTCGAGAAAAGGTGAGTGCCACCCTTCAGAAGAAGTTATGTCACGGCATAAAAATAACGAATTTTTTCACTCAAAACTCTGATGCTTGGATGCAGGACTAATCCTCACAGTGCTATTACATTTGACAAATACCCACTATATTTAACATGATCAAATTGAGAAATTATGGAGTAATCCATACATTTTCTTCTGTATAGTAGTTTATTCTGTCCCTACTGTTAATACCAGAAATGAATTGTGGCAAAAAATAGTAATGGGCCAATGTTATTCAACCATTTGTTCTTCGTAGAAATTATGGCGGACATTTTGAACAAATAATTTGTAATTAATTTTTCGCTTTTGCTATTGTTCTTAGTTTGAAATTTTTAAGTTTTTTTAATTTGTTATGTTTAAATATTCCTTATCATTTATGTTTTCATATTTTTGCGTTGTTTCAGTATCTATTCAATATTTAATAAAAATCTGAATTAATTTGTTATATTTTATGTATTATCTTTAGATTTAACATTATCAAATTGAGAAATTTTGAAGTTATCCATACACATTTGCAGTACTAACTTTAAATTAAGTTTCCCTTCAAATGATGTATTTTAGCGACATGCAACAAGTATTCCTTTTTTAAGTATATATACTAGTATATATACTAGATTGGCACGCTAGTTTAGAACGCCCTGTACAAGCAATGTAACGAAAAAAGCTGGCATTCGTTTGTATTACCCAAAAAAACTTACTTTCACAAAATTTGGGTACATTTACTTAAAAAAATATTTAAATTATTATAAAAAAATAAAAAAATAAATTTTTTCTCTATCCTGTAACTTTTTAAGAGAGCAAAATTCTACCAAGGTAAATTGGCTTAAATAAACCTATCTGTGTCCAAACTAACCACATCTAAAGCTTGGGCCATTCTTTAATGAACACTATTTATAATGACTTCAAGAATTTTCGACAACACTGGTAATACCGATATTTGTCTAAAATTTTGAGACTGATCTTTGGCACCTTTTCTATAA